GAGTGAAACTGTCTCAAAAAAAAAAAAAAAAAAAAAAGAAAGAAAGAAAGAAAGAAAGAAAAAAAAATTCAGCAGTCTAAGCCCTAATTCTAACCCTGGTAGATTAACTGGGTTAGATCCACCAAACAACAGAGCGTTTCTCACGGCATTACGGATCACTGGAACATAGGGTGCTAGCTTTGCAGAAATTAACATAAAAACATACGAGGAGCTTGCCTTACACATCAGAGAGGCAGCGTTATGTCTTGAGAGCCGGAAGGCTTTGGTACAAATCCTGGTTCTACCACTCCCTGAGGGCAAGTCACTTAAAGCCTCCCTGTCCCAGGTTTCCTCCTGGGGACTGTCACAGGGATTCTACGAGTTAATAAACATGAAGTGATTAGAACCACGCCTGGCACAGAGTGAGCGCCGTAGACGTGTTAGCAACTGCTAATATTATTTTTTAAATTTTTAACATTTTCATTTTTTAGCCCACAACGAACATCATATATATTATTATTATTCACTATCATTTGCATATCACAAGATTTTATTCTAAAAGGCTTTTTTTTCCCCTTTACTTTCTATTTTTTTTTTTTTATTTTTACTTATTTATTTATTTATTTATTTATTTATTTTGAGACGGAGTTTCGCTCTTGTTACCCAGGCTGGAGCGCAATGGTGCGATCTCGGCTCACCGCAACCTCCGCCTCCTGGGTTCAGGCAATTCTCCTGCCTCAGCCTCCTGAGTAGCTGGGATTACAGGCACGCCCCACCATGCCCAGCTAATTTTTTGTATTTTTAGTAGATATGGGGTTTCACCATGTTGACCAGGATGGTCTCGATGTCTTGACCTCGTGACCCACCCGCCTCGGCCTCCCAAAGTGCTGGGATTACAGGCGTGAGCCACCGCGCCCGGCATTTTTTTTTTTTTTTTTTTTTTTTTTTTTTTAAAGACGGATTCTCACTCTGTCTCACTGCCAGGCTGGAGTGTAGTGACTTGATCTCGGCTCACTGCAACCTCCGCCTACTGGGTTCCAGCAATTCTCCTGCCTCAGCCTCCTGAGTAGCTGAGATTACAGGCACGCGCCACTATGCCCAGCTATTGTTTGTATTTTTAGTAGAGACGGGATTTCACCATGTTGGCCAGGATAGTCTTGACTTCTTGACCTCGTGATCCATCCGCCTTGGCCTCCCAAAGCATTGGGATTACAGGTGTGAGCCACTGCGCCTGGCCCTCTAAAATATTAAAATAAATAAAATAGTGCATTTTGCTGGAAGGCACAGATGTCCACTCAGCTATGAATTAAGAGAGCAGATAGGTCAAACCCTTGGCTCTTCTCAGCAAAAGCACAGCATGACTAAAAAATGGCTGTTTGGGGGAATGAATTGCTTGGGTATGATTCCAGGACAGGTGTCCCCATTCATGTTCCAGGGAGGAAAAGAATGTTGCTTCAAAACTCCAAAAAAAAAAAAGAGTTTATTTATAAAATACTGACAGTTTGACAGGACATGGGACTTCTTGTGGTATATATTTCAAATCAATTTTTTTCTTACCTTTCATTTAAAAAATAAACCTGCTAACACGCTATATGACATATAGAGATATATATTTTTTTCTTACAGACACCTGCCATAATGAATACTCTCCCCATAATTTTTTGTTCTATTTTTTTAAATCAAAAAATAAAGATTTGTGTTGATTTTTGTTTCTGGCATCTAGATGGATGAAGAAAGGTAACACGTTTAAATGCTTTTGGTTATTCGGATGGAAACAAAGAGAAGCGGGGTGGTCCCGAGGGGGCACCTGTGCTCAGGTGGTGGTCAGGATTGCCATGTGCGCATGCCTGTGGGGGTCCCTGGCTAGGACCATACAGAGGCACTGGGGAGCGGGTGGCGGCTGTCAGCTGATCTCCCCTCTACCCTCCTGCCCACCAGCCCCTCACCCAGGGTAGGCACCTTCAGATGTACACTCTGGGAAGCTGAGGGAAGCCCCTGCCCAGCCAGAGTGGCACTGTGGTGAGGCTCTGGCACCTTTAGAAGCGCTGCCCAGGGAGGTGTGGGCAGCAACAGAAGGCCTCGAGGCAGCGTGCACCAGGTGAGCCGGTCCCCGCCGTGTCCTTGTTTCCTCTCATTCACGGCAGTGTCAGGTTTGGCGGTAGGAGTTTCGGGGGCTGGGGGGTGAGGAGTGGACAGAAGGGGAGGCAGCCTGGGTTTGCAAACTCCCTGGAGCCCGAGGAGGATGGTGGTTCTGGAGCCCGGAGCATCTTTTTGGTTTGTCTTGGCAGTGTGGGTGTGGAGCTGATGTCAACTCTGGAGGCGCAGTCAGGAAGGGGAAAGCCCCGGTGTGCCCAGCGTGGGCTCCTGAGTGCAACACTGGGAGATTGCTTGGGGCACAGGGAGGCAATGCCAAAGGTGCCAGGTGTGTCCTGGTGTGAACCTACGTTGGGTGGAGTCCCACAGGCAGGGCCCTGGTATCACTGGCTCAGAAAATCACAGGCCAGGAAGGGTCCCTGTTACACATGCGCAGTGCCCACCACCCCTTTCTAATGTGGCCGGGTGTCTGGGAGGAAGGTTGGGAGCCTCGGCTGCCCCAGTAGATATGTAAACAAGGGCAAAGAGATGTGTCCTTAAAAACTCTAAAGTTCCACAGCTGCAGACCTGGGCTTCCAGCTGTGACTGGGGCTGTGGAGACAATATGCCAGATGGGTGGGTACTGAGTGTGGGACTTTCACTGCGGGCACAGCCTGATCTCATGGGCTTGTCCAAATTTGCATGGTGTCCTCACCCTCTCAGACAACAGATCCCGGCCACGCCCCAAGTGCAAGCAACCCAGGCCACTCTTGCCTCAAGGGGGAGGTGGCTTCAGCCATCAGAGGGAGTGGCAAGAGCCTCTCTGCTAACACACATACAGTCGTGTATTCTGTGCATATCTGTGTGCATGTGTGTGAGTACAGGCGTGCATGGGCACCATTCCACGCATGCATGTAGGTGTCAGCATGGGTGTGAATGAGCTTGTGGGGAGTAGGGTGGGGGAACTACCTTAGTGCACCCGGTGATTCATTAAAGGCAAAGGAAAATTGGCCTCATGTGCAATATATACACATACACTATGTTTTTGCACAGCCCTGCTTCCTCCCAAACAGTCCCTCACTGGGCTGGGCTAAAAGAATTCCCTAATGCAAACTGGGAACTTCCTTAAATGGTTAAAGACTCAGCAGAGAGGAAAAGGATAAAGTTATTTAGAAAAAAAAAAGAGCGGAAAGAAAAGAAAGCATCGCAGCAGGATCACCGGCCGGCAGCTGCAGATGTGTTGCCACGGAGACGCCAGATGCTGCAGAGGGTGGAGGCGGAGGAGGTGGGGGCGGAGCAGGGGTCGGGCTGACTCCACGGCAGCTCCCAGACAAGTCCAAGGAGGCCCCGAGAGCACCTTACTCCCCGGAGGTGCAAACTCTCAGCCCTTCTCCTTTGGGGAAAAGATTGTGCTTCCCTTCCAAGGCCTCCTTGTTGGAGAAACGGCTGTTTGGACACCGGAGCTGGGCTGAGCTGTCTGCCAAGCCATCTACCAGCATCGACCCCTTCACATTTCCCAGGGGTCAAGTGCTTCGGGAAACACTCATGGCTGGGTGTGCCCGTTCTTTGGGCCCCAGACCCTAACTTCCCTTCCTGGTCACCATTAGCACAGTGACAGACTTGGGGCTGGTGGGGAGGGGCACAGATTCTCTCTAACCTTGTTTCCCAAATGCCCTACTCGGGTTTTCTGGAACTGTGCTCACCCACCCCAATGGGGTATCACCTCCTCTTCTTAGACAAGGCCAGAAGTGCCTGTGCACGGTACACACAGGGAGCCCTGCCCCACGAAGGGGTCCGCGCTGAACTGGACGTGTCCCTACTGGGCCATCTGCCATCCAGCTTAGTGGTGGTGGGGGGTCTTGGGCTGGCCTTACAGGGCTGGCTGGGGACGCAGAGGGCCTTGGATGACCCAGGGAGTTAGATAAAAAGGCCTCTCCCTAAACCCTGGCATCCGGAAGTCCCAAGTGGATGGGAAGATCCTGGCCCCTAGAAGTGACTGTGTTTTTTTTTTTTTTTTTTTTTTTGAGATAGAGTTTCGCTCTTGTCACCCAGGCTGGAATGCAATGGTGTGACCTTGGCTCACCACAACCTCTGCCTCCTGAATTTAAGCTATTATCCTGCCTCAGCCTCCCAAGTAGCTGGGATTACAGGCAGGAGCCACCATGCCCAGCTACTATTTGTATTTTTTTTAGTAGAGACTGGATTTCTCCATGTTGCTCAGGCTGGTCTTGAACTCCTTACCTAAGGTGATCCGCCAGCCTCAGCCTCCCAAAGTGCTAGGATTACAGGCGTGAGCCACCTCACCCGGCCTAGACGTGGCGTTTTGTAGAACACCCCTTGGAGCAGATTGTGTGTGTGTGTGTATAAAAGCTTTCCCTCCCATCAGCTATTTCTGTCACTTGGTCCCATCTGACCTGCCCCTGCTGGGTATGTATCTCGAATGCTGTGTCCACTTTGGACTGAGCTTCCTGACCTGCTCCTTCCCCTCCTGACCCTGGCCAGGCGGAGCTTGGCCTGGAAGATGATACTGGGGGTTAGGGTACCTTTGCTTCTTTGCCTATAAAATGGGTGCTAGGCAGACTGGGTAACCTCTGGGTGTCCCAGCTTCTAGACTAGGGACTTAGGCAATCCCTCTGGGCTCCTGTGCCTCTGTACTTAGGAGGCTGATGGTGGACAGCGAGAGAGACACAGATCTGAAAGTCAGTGTGCTGTCTGGCTAGGAAAGCCTAAAGGAGTTTCTTCTGGAAAGGCTCCTTAGACCCTGTTCCTTGGAAGTACATGGGAGCTATGTGTGTGTGTGCAGGTGCATGTGTGTATGTGTGTGGTGAGGATCTATCCAGTGGAGAGTGAAGTGTCTGCCCAGAGGGAGATCCCTCACCTGCGCCCCACTTCCCAGCCTAGGGAAGCTGACTACCCCTTTAAAGACGGGGCAGACGGAACCTGGATTAGAAGAAAGAGAACAGTCAAAGCTGCATTCTTATCTTACCCACAATGCATTAAACCTAATTTTCCCACAGTGCCCAGGCCAGTCGCCTTATTTACGCTTCTGCTCCCCAGACTTCATTTCTTCTTGTCCATGCTCAGGAAAGTCAATTCCAGCACAGGGAGGCAGGGGTCAGTGGTGGGGGTTTCTCCCCTACCCTTGGGCTCTCTTCCTTGGATTCAAAATTTTAAAAAATATGCAGGAACAAGGAAGGCGCTAAGCAAATTCTTACCCTTTCGTTTTTTTGTCTTCCTTTTTCTAAATAAACCAAATGCTTGGTGGAGAAGTTGAGCAGGGGAGGTGGGCAGTAGAGCTTGCCCAGGCAGAACGGGGGTCTGGGCGAGGCTGTCCGTGGCGATGGTGCACGAGGGAGAGGGGAAGGAGGAGCAGGGAGAGAAGGCAGGTGTGGCCTCTGGGATACCCATCCTTTTGGCAGAGGGTAGCGGCAGTGGGTCCAGGAGTCCTGAAGGGGCTGGAAGAGGGCAGCTGGCTGAACATCCAGAAGCTGCTTCTTCCCTCAGCCACGCCTGCCTGGCGGCCCCCAGTCCTCCGCCTTCACTTCCTCTCTCTCTCCAGAGGCCCACCCCAATCTGTGTCCATAGCAGTGACACTATTGCCACTTCCCCAGCTCCGTGAAATTCCCAAAGGAGCAGTGAACCCCACCATCTTACAGCCGAAGAGCTGCTGGCCACACACATCCTCTCCTGGTTTTCCCCTCCTTCTGAACGCCGGCTTTGCTGGCGCTGGAATCTCTGGAAAAATAAACTCAGGAGGTGAAAAGTTGACTTGGTTTCTTGGTGTTTTTGTCTTCTGGCAGGCGGTAAGAGGAGGGGTGAAGAAGGAGTTTGGTGCCATTTCTCTTTCTTTTTCCTCTTCTGATGTCAAACAAATGATGAGAATCCTGCAATGGGGGCCCGGGAGCTGGGGGCCAGGCTGCTGGGGGGGCGGTAGAGGGTGCTCTGCTGACTTGGGGGGTTTGGGGGATTCTGGGGCGTTGGAGTCCGACTGGTCTTGGGCCGAAAGAGGCTGCCCTGCTGGGTGCTGGTGCTGTTGGTGACGGCGGCGTGGTCCGGCTCACCCGAGTCGCTCTCCGTGTAGCTGTAGGCCTGCGCCCTCGAGATGCCCTTCTGCTGCCTCCGCCACGAGTTGTAGTACGTGGGGTCGCTGATGTAGTGGTTGACAAAGGAGTGGGCCTTCTGGTGGTTTGAGTCCACCTCATACTCGCTGTCACTTCCCTGGGAGGACAGAGAATCAGGGTGTGTCAGTGGCCCTGTGGGGACAGGCCATTGTGGTTGGGGCCAGAAGGCACAGGGCATTCTGGTTCAAAACTTTGCCTGTCTCATTTAAGACCTGGACTGTGGGCCTTCCGGCCCCCACACTGCCAAGGGGGTCTAGTGCCTGTTTGTGTCTTTTTTCTGCTTCCTTCAGAGATTCTGGACCGGAGGGGTCTACCGTGGGGTTGACCCAGAGATACCTGATAGAATCAGAAGACCCGAGTTTTCTTTTCTTTTTCTTATATATATATATATATATATAGGCGGGGTTTCACCATGTTGGTCAGGCTGGTCTTGAACTCCCGACCTCAGGTGATCCGCCCGCCTTGGCCTCCAAAGTGCTTGGATTACAGGCGTGAGCCACTACACCTGGCCTCTTTTCTTTTTCTTATCTTTTTGTTTGTTTGTTTGTTTGTTTGTTTGTTTGTTTTTTTGAGACGCAGTTTCGCTCTTGTTACCCAGGCTGGAGTGCAATGGCGCGATCTCGGCTCACCGCAACCTCCACCTCCTGGGTTCAGGCAATTCTCCTGCCTCAGCTTCCTGAGTAGCTGGGATTACAGGCACGCACCACCATGCCCAGCTAATTTATTGTATTTTTAGTAGAGACGGGGTTTCACCATGTTGACCAGGATGGTCTCGATCTCTCGACCTCGTGATCCACCCGCCTCGGCCTCCCAAAGTGCTGGGATTACAGGCTTGAGCCACCACGCCCGGCCATCTTTTTTTTTTTTTGAGACAGAATCTCGCTCTGTTGCCCAGGCTGGAGTAAAGCAGTATGATCCCAGCTCACTGCAACCTCTGACTCCCAGATTCAAGCGATTCTCCTGCCTCAGCCTCCTGAGTAGCTGGGATGACAGATGCATGCCACCACGCCGACCTAATTTTTTTGGTATTTTTAGGGGTTTCACCATGTTGGCCAGGCTGGTCTCAAACTCCTGGCCTCAAGTGATCCACCTGACTCAGTCTCCCAAAGCGCTGGGATTACAGGTGTGAGCCACCACGCCCGGCAAGTTTTCTTTTCTTTGCTTTCACTCTCTTTTTTTTTTTGAGACAAGGTCTCAATCTGTTGCCCAGGCTGGAGCACAGTGGTGCGATCTTCACTTAACTGTAGCCTCAACCTCCTGAGCTCAAGCTATCCTCCCACCTCAGCCTTGTGAGTAGCAAGGACTATAGTTGCATGCTGCCATGTTCCACTAACTTAAAACATTTTTTCTGTTGTGACGAGATCTCCTTATGTTTCCCCGGCTGGTCTAGAACTTCTGGGCTTAAGTGATCCTCCTGCCTTGGACTCCCAAAGTGCTGGGATTACTGGCATAAGCCACCTCATCCAGCCTACCTTTGTTTTCAACTGAAGGAAGTTCACATAACAGAGAGTGAACGATTCTAAGGCAAAGGACTCAGTGCATCAGGAGCTTCATGATGTCCTGCGACCACTGCTTCCATCCAGCCCCAAATCACTGTCACCACCCCAAAGTCAAACCTGCACCCACGAAGCAGCCACTCCCTATCTCTGCCCCTGCCGGGCACTCCCTATATCCATGCCCCTGGCAACCACTAATCTGTCTTCTGTCTCTGGGGATTCACTTATTCATATAAACAGGATCATACAATACGTAGCCTTTTGTGTCTGGCTTCTCTGACACAGTGTCATGTTTTCAAGGTTCAACCTCAACCTACTGAGTTCTCATCGTGGTCCAGCTTCTGATTTACTTTGTGAGTGGGGACAAAGCAAGAGCCAGAAAGACCTTTAGAGGTTCTGGGCAGTGAAAAAATGCCAGCGCTTGTCTGAGTGTGATCCAACATAAAGACAATGCTTGGTTACCAATGAAGCATGAGAAAAATCTAAACAAAAGTTCAGAATTTTTATGTTACGACAACTTTAAAGTTTTTTTTTTTTTTTTTTTTTTTTTTTTTTTTTTTTTTTTTTTTGAGACGGGGGTCTCTCTTTGTTGCCTAGGCTGGTCTCGAACTCCTGTGCCCAAGCTATGTTCCTGCCTTGGTCTTTCAAAGTGTTGGGATTATGGCATAATGACACGGAATCAGCCTAAAGTTTTTTTTTGTAAAGATAAAGATATTAAATTATTCCTAACTTTTTTTTGACACGCCGATGTCCTAGGCACAGGCTTCATCTGTTGGGGACATTAGCCCCAAACAAAAGTCAGTCTCGATTGGAAAGTGAAATTGAATTGTGGAGCTAAAAATACTGTGCGCCCTTCCCCTACCCTGAGCTCCCCGCAATGTTTTGAGAGCTAATACGACAACAGATGGGCCCACCCTCAGAACTCTCTGGAAGAGAAGTGCTCTGATTTCAGTGTACAGCACACGCTCAGTGAAATGCAGCTCAGAGGGCCCTGCCCAGGCCTCCTCAGTCCTGCCCAGCGAATGTCCCTGTCTGTGGGCAGTTAGTGCGTCACAGCAACCCGAGTAAAACATCAAACCCAGTTAGCCCAATCCAAACAATTTTGGGGTGGGGAGCTGTGCCCTGCTTTACAGATAAAGAAACTGGAGTAGGGGACTTTGTCCAAAGGGTCTGGGCTTTGGGAATTGAGACGCACAGCTTTGTTCTCAGGAACTTGGAGTCCTTCATAACATTGGCATACATCTCGAGAGATGTAGCCGCAATGAATAGAACCACCATGATCCCCGCTACCGGAGCGGGCGCTCTGCCAGACAGTCTGAAATGCTGACGTGTGTAAGTGTATTTAATTTTCACACCTCTGTGCTGTAGCTCCTGTTGCTACGTGAGCACTGATGCTGCGTGGTACTGAAGGGCACATAGAGTACAGAAAGGGTTTTGCTGGGGAAGTGATCCAGCCAGGCTTGAACTCTGATCTGCCTGATTTTCTAAAGCCCACACACCTTTTAACTCCTACAATTCTGCCTGGAGACCACAGGATGGGAACGAGAGCTCCCTCCCCCACCGCCACCCCCACTCCCAGTGGGAATTAAATACTCCCCAGTCCATCTGCTAATTTATGTTCTCTGGCCCCTCCCCTCCCTCGCCTCACCCCTCTACAACCCCAGTCACTCTCCTTAGCACCCCCCCCAGCAGACACTCCCCTGCCAGGACCTCAATCCTCTTGGCAGGCATAGCCGGCTGCCCAAGACAATGGAAAGTCCCTGGGCTCGGTCTGCCCCGTGATGCAATGCTGCACAATACAAGCCCCTTTCTGTGCCTGCTGCCCAGCTGCCGGCCCAGGAGAACAAAGAGGGGGCACAGGCGGGGCAGGGGGACTCCATATGCTGAGCAGAGGCACCTGACACTGGGCTGAGCCAGGCTGGGCCGGAGCAGAGTGGATCTCTGAGGCAGGAGCCTGGGGGTCCATCCCGCCCAGGAGCAGTGAGGGTCTGTGAGTGCGGGGGACCAGACAGGGATGTCCCAGTTTTCCCTACAGGCTGCTCTCTCCACCCTCTAACTGGCTTGCAGTTGTTAGCATCATCTCCAGGGTTCTAGAATTTTGGCTGGCCCCAGGCCCCAGCCTTGCAGACGAACCCAGGATCACCGTGGGACCATCCCACAGTGAACGAGTCTCTGTGGGGAGGAGGGGCTTGTGGCCCGGGAAGTTCTGGCCCTTTCCAGCAGAGGAAGCGTGAGCCATCACTCAGCCTCTCTCAGCATCAGTGTCCTTGTCTGTAAAATGGGTAGATCTCCATAGTTCACAGGGTAAAATGAGCTAATGCAGGAGAGAATGCTGTAAAAGGTATTATCAGTGGGGACAGTGAGGGTGAGCCTGGGTGGGAAAGGGAAGACACGGAGTAGGAAGCCTCAGAGCCCCCCAGGGAGAGATCAGAAGGGGCCAGGAAGCTGGGAGGCTGACTCCATGCTTAGGCAGCTGGAATGGGAGAAGGTTAGCTACCACCCTCCCCAGCCCGGAATCCAAGACAGGCATGTCCAAATTGGGAGCAAGGTGTGGAGTGGGATTCTCTGGCTCTCTTAAGGGCTCAGATCCCAAAGTCCACTCATCTAGACCATCGTTGTCCTACCAGCTAGTATCTGCCAAATGCCTACTGGTGCCAGGCACTCTGTGGGCAGCATTTCGGGGATGGAAGGCACCAGACGGAAGAGCAGGGAGCCAAACAGAGCCCGAGCTACGGGAGGGGCCAGGCAGGCGAGTCTGCTCTACCGGTCCTCCCTCCCCCACTCCCTCCAAAGCCCAAGCAGGAGGGCTTTGCATCAGCGACTGTTGCTCCCGCCTCCATCTCCCTGAACATCTGTTTCTTTTCGGGGTGGGGGGTGGGGCGAGAAGAGAAGAAAGCGAGGGGGAACCAGGGGCTCCTATTGCAGCTTTCAACTCTCACGGCCTCGGTAATTGAATGCAGCTTCCCAGGGACTCGCCCAGCACAAAGGGGGCCTTTCAGGGGCCGTCCTGCCAGGCCGCCAGGCAATCAAGTGACTGCTCCGTCTCCCTGGTCTCTTAACAGCACCTCAAAGCCACTCAATCAGCAATTACTGGGGCCTGGTGATGGGAGTGGGGTGGGGGTGGGGGGGACGGCAGAAGGAGGCAGGACCCCGAAGAAAAAAGGAAGCAAAGCAAAGCCCTTTTGCCTTTTTGTTCATCTCCAGCCCAAAGGATCTGGCACCAGACTCAGCTGGCGATGGGGTCAGGAGTGGTCCTGGGCTTTGGGACTGTGCGAAGACCTTGGGGCCAGGCAGGGGACTCTTATCTTGTTGAATTTCATGAAGTCTGGGAGGAATGTGTTGCCCCAGATGACAAGAGAAGGCACCCTGTGCAGCGACTTGGGAGACTGGAAGCAGGGGCCCCCTCCTGCATCCACAGTCCCAGGAGCTCCGCACTGATTCTAGCCTGAAGCCAGCAGCGCATCTGCGCAGGGTGTTCCGCCTTCCCCTGGATGCCTCTACTCTGGGAGCCAGCTGGGGTCTCTCTGCAGGGGCTGCAGCCTCTGGATTAGAGGTGGGGTGGGGGTGATGTGTCTCCTGTGTGTCTCTTAAGAACCTCAGAATTGTGCCCTTGGACAATTTTGTTGAGGCTCTGGGCTCTCTGTGCTAAGACAGCTGGAAATCTCCCAGCAATGTCCTTTGAAAAATGTCAGCTAAGAATCAACATCATATGTGCCACCTGTGCCCTCACAGGTAAAGTGACAGCCTATGTGCAACCTGCTCCCCCGCTACCAACGGGCTGTTAGAGATGTCTGTGTTCAGGGAGCTCAAGGGAGGTCACTAGGGTGGGGCTGGAGTTAGTGAAGGCCTCTCTCCCTCTTCAATCTCCTCTCCCGACTGGGCAGCTGCACGAGGCCAGGCTACAGTAGACATGACCCTCTCAGCAAGCTGGTTTTAGATTTGAATCTCAATTGCTTGTACTTCTGAGCTCTGACCAAGGGCATACTGCCTGACTTCTCTGAGCCTCGGTTTCCCCAGCTGTTAAATAGGGATGGTTTTACTTGCATGGCAGGGCAGTTAGATGTTAAATGAGAACACATAAAGCCCAGGGCTTGGCACACAGCAGGTGCCTGTAGCTTAGCCTCTCCCTGGCCTGTCTCTGCCCTGCAGTGTGTTTCTCGTCTGGCACAAGCTTGGGCTGCCAGGGTCTGGAGGGCGGTGAGGCTAAGGAGAAGCTGACGACGACGAGGTCTCAGCTGAGCCTATTGGACTCATGGCCCATCTGGTGGAAAAGAGGTAAACACAGGTAAAAGGTCAGAGCCATTCAGCAGAAGAGTGATGGCAGAACATGAGCCCCGCTCCAGCCAGCTGCAAACCTGCACGGTTCCCTTCTATGCCTGACCTAGTCCTGTTCACACTTTAGGGCCCAGCTCACATAAATGCCGCCTCCTTCAGGCAGCCCTCTCTGAGCCTCCAGGGGAAGTGGCTTCCTCATGCTGCTTCATCTGCCTCTGCACGGCAGGAAAGAAACAGGAAGACTTTTGCTCACCACTTTCTTCCTCAAGTTACTGTGGTTCTATAATATTTTATTTTATTTTATTTTATTTATTTATTTATTTGAGATGGAATCTCGCTCTGCCACCCAGGCTGGAGTACAGTGGCGCCATCTCGGCTCACTGCAACCTCCACCTCCCAGGTTCAAGTGATTCTTTTGCCTCAGCCTCCCAAGTAGTTGGGACTACAGACATGTGCCACCACGCCCAACGAATTTTTGTATTTTTAGTAGAGACAGGGTGTCACCATATTGGCCAGGCTGGTCTCGAACTCCTGACCTTGTGATTCACTCGCCTCGGTCTCCCAAAGTGCTGGGATTATAGGTGTGAGCCACTACGCCTGACCAGTTTCATAATATTTTAATGAGAAATGAAAATGTGGTTATTTATACACATATGGTCTTCCCTAATAAATCATAACACATTATAACGCAACATTTATTAGAGTCTTGTCTTGCCCACTACTGTAGCCATGACTCCTCTACAGCATCTGGTTCTGTTTAGTGGGTAGAGAACAAATAGCTGTTCAGTAAATGCATCAAGGAATGAATGAATAAGTTTCATAGAGAGCAAACCCAGCACTTAACTCCTCCCAGGTACTATGCAGAACAGATGTCTTGGGGGTGGGGGCAATGAGGGGATGCATTCTGGGCTCTTTGTCAGGGGGTGGGGGCCTTCCCAGCTCTCTCTTTTTCATCATCTTTACTTGAAAATAGTCTTAATGCCACCAGTGCCTCCCAGAGGACTCTGAAGCTTAGATGGTGTCATTCACAAACAATCCTTAGAATGCTTCCTGGCTTCTAGTAATAAATAGTGCAGCAAATATGATTCGCAGCTGGGCGTGGTGGCTCACACCTGTGATCCCAGAATTTTGTGAGGCCGAGGTGGGTGGATCACCTGAGGTCAGGAGTTCAAGACCAGCCTAACCAACACGGGGAAACCCTGTTCCTACTGAAAGTACAAAATTTGCCAGGCATGGTGGTGTGCACCTGTAATCCCAGCTACTCGGGAGGCTGAGGCAGGAGAATCGCTTGAACCCGGGAGGCGGAGATGGCAATGAGCTGAGATTGTGCCACTGCACTCCAGCCTGGGCAATGAGGGAGAAGCTCTGTCTCAAAAAAAAAAAAAAAAAGAAAAGAAAAGAAAGAAAGAAAAAGAAAATATGATTCGCTCTGTGTATCTTCTTTTTAAAATGTGCTTAATTTCACCGCAATGCAATGAAGGGGCTGTCATGATATTGCAAGAACTGAAGATCAAGATCAGAAGGTGTGTGCCATCAGCTTGGAATTTCTTTTCCATTGAGATTTACTTGTGTGCTAAGTATACACATTGTTTTTCTACCAAACTTGGGCTCTTGTTTTGAAAACGAAGTTGCTGTGCAGCCATGCTGCAGTGTTAGAAGCTCTGTCAGACAGGTCAGGGGCCTCTCAATCTCCAGCCTTTGCCCTCTGCCCCCTTCTCCTGCGCCCTGGGCCCTCTACGTGAGAGCCAGCCTCTCTCTCCTCTAACCCATCACCTCCAGCTGAATTATAGCCTTTCTCATATCGCATCATGTGTGTTTGTTTATAAGTCAAACTGACGTTTTGTTTATTACCATATCACAGGAAAACGGCTGGGCAGATTTCCGCCAATTTTGGAGAGTGAGTTTTGGGTGGTCTGACTCAGAATATAAACCAGGCAGCATACGCAAAACCCACTCGCCAAAGACCTGGGGGGAGGGACGCCCTTGAAAAGAGAGGCAGTCGTTCTTCCTGGAGCCTGAAACCGAAGGGCCCTGGCCTGTGCAGCTGCTGATCCTCAGGGACACAAGCCCGAGGACTACCAGTGGCATCCTTATCAGCCCCCACTCCAAGGTCGCAATGGTGGGGGCTCCGCATTGCAGATGCTGATTGGTAGCTGAGCTGCTTGTCACATGGGTAAGTGAGTGGCAGCAGCACTTCTTTAGGAGCCTCATAAGTACCACAGCGGGGCCAGGCACCGTGGTTCATGTCTGTAATCCCAGCACTTCGGGAGGCCAAGGCAGGCGGATCACATGAGGTCAGGAGTTCAAGACCAGCCTGGCCAACATGTTGAAACCATGTCTCCATTAAAATACAAAAATTAGCTGGGCATGGTGGCTTGTGCCTGTAGTCCCAGCTACTCAGGAGGGTGAGGCAGGGTATTGCTTGAACCCGGGAGGCGGAGGTTTCAGTGAGCGGAGACTGCGCCACTCCAGCCTGGGTGACAGAGCAAGATTCTGTCTTTACAACAACAAAAATCTCGCAACTTGGATCACATGGGTTTTGTCACCCCACTGAGTCCCTGAGTAAGCCAGGCTAAGTTGGGGTCTCTGTCCCTGCCAGCTTTGGGCTAGGGAGTTAGGTCCAGCCTGCTCAGCTTTGCCAAGCCCATCAGTAACCCTGGAGCTGAACAAAACAGCAGTAAGTGAGAGGCCCTCAGCCCACGGGGCCCACAACGTGATCCCAGGCTTCTTGGCACCTCCTGCACAGCCAACAGCCCCGCTCCCTGCTGGCACCTCTTCCTTCACTTCCTCTCCCAGGCCTGGGCAGAAAGGTCCAGGGCGTGGGATACAGTGCCCTTTCGTGGCCTTTCGTGGCCCTTTCCTCAGTAACCACTGGGCTTGGCTGAGGCAGAGAGGGCTGGGGTGGGAAGCTGTAAGACTGCGTGGCTGGAATGCACACAGCTCCTCCCCCCACAGCCTGAGACACGGTGTCCCCGCATGACCCACCTAATGGCTGCTCTCTGAAGCTGTGTCTTCCAGAAGCATCGACCCCTACTTCATATAAAAGCTGACATTTATGGAATGGTTGCCATGTACCTGGCTCTACGTTGCATTCATGTGTCTAATCTCAGCAGATCCTCGGCATGGCCTCGCGACAGAACCTGTTATCACCCTGCCTCTTCCACAGATGGGGAAACTGAGGCTTAGAGAGGTTACCTGGCACACCCAGGACATCCCAGCTCACGGGCAGCAAAGCCAGGATTCAAACTCAGTTCCAAAGCTCCAAAGCCTAACGCCTCCCTGGTCTACACTGCTTCTCATCCTCGGGTCCCAGGGCACCCAGCCCTGTTTCTGAAGCTTGTTCTGATCCTTGAGGAGTTAAGTGGAACATTTTTCCAGGGCAATGCAGGGCTTATGTGTCAACCTTGCCCCAACTTTCCCTCTCTGTACCTTCAGCATGCCCCCTTGCAGGCCAGACCCAGTGAGTAACTGAGCCTGTGGGGTGACTCCCGTCAGTGTGGAGGGCCATGCTCTTCGGGGGACACCCCTGTGATCAAGGTTCCTGGGGCCTCGTTAGCACTGGCTCCCAACTTTGGGCAGAACTTGGGATGGGACATATATGACTTCAGGGTGGTTTCTTGGGCTCCTTAGTCTTTGGTGCCCCATGAAGGAAAGGAAGAAAGTCCATCTACTGTCCCACTCTGGGAGGGGTTGCTCCCTCCCCTCTGCAGGACACCTGGCCCTCCTGTCCTCACCTGAGAGTCGGAGATTTCTGAGGGCTTCTCGGTCAGGCTGCTGCTCTCTGCAGGGATGAGGTCATTGTACTTGGTGACATCCTCATCTGAGTAATGCAGGCTGCCCGGGCTGGGCCGAGGTGGAGACCTGGAGAGAGTGGGGAGCGGGGCTGAGAGGTGCCCTCACTCAGAGCAGCCTCTCCTCATCTGGGGAGACCGCAGGGAGGCCTGGGGAGGATGGGTCCCCACCACCCTCTGTTCCTCTTCTTTCCTGGGCGTGGACTTGGGAGACGGGCCTGGCGGAGGACATAGAGGGAAACATAGGGTGCCAGGCTGTCTAGGCAACACGCAGCGTGAATGTGGGGGGGGGGTGTCACCGTGGCTGGGCTCAGGGCCCCACTTCCTGGGGTTGGTTTGGTGCAAACTGGATTTTTGTGTACACAGAGTGGCTTTGGGGGCACACAGGGGCCTGAATGTGTGCGCTGCGAGTAGGAGAGGCTGGCAGGAGCAGGGAAGGTGAGGCCATGGGTGAAATGCCCCCTTGTTACATGTGGCAGGGACCCGGAGCCAGCCTGGCGGGGCTGCTGTGGCCATGCTGGGCCTGGCTGGGCCTGCTGTGGGAGCCTCAAACAGCTCTTTCTTTGGAAGGCTGGATTTGGCGGAGGATGAGAGCTCGGCTTTGGGAGCCCCTCCCTCCATCCTCCAGATGAACACACACATAGCTTCGTCGCTCTGAGACAGAGACACAGGGAAGCTTTGTGAGCTCCCAAGAGAGGCTGGACTCCTCCTGCTTCCCACCTCCAACGAGCTAGGAATGCCAATTGGGCTGAGGCCTGACGCGGGAGTCCTCCGGCCTGGTCCCTGTTGAGCTCAGGGGAGCGGAAAACCACCACACCACACACCAGCGGAGGGTCAGGTGGGCCCCAGCAGTGGCTCCGGCCCTTAGAAATGGGCAGCCCATTGGCCACAGGGAGTGGGGCCTAGGAGGGGGCCGGGGTTAGAAAGAAGTCAGGAGAAAACGGAAGCTGTGCTCGCCCACCAGCCTTGTCCTGTCCTCACGGGCTGCTCTCAGATGCCACCCTTTGAGGCTGATGGGGATAGGAGGTTGTCCTTTAACGGGCATAAATCGGGACCCAGGGGAGAGGGTTTCCCAGATGGGGAGGAAGACGGTAGGCTCAGGCATCCTTCGCTAAGGTGTGTTTGCTCGGTCTGCCTTGGCTGGGCCTGTCCTGCCTTTGGGGCGAGTGACTATCTGCAGGCCTGTTTTCCCTGGCAGCTGGCTCTGAACAGCAATAGGTTGGTTTGCAAAAGGTTGCCAGTTATCTGCACTCTGCTCTCACTGTCAGGAACTCTTAGTGGCCACCTCCTAGTAAATTTCTCCCGGGTTCGTCCTCAGCCCTAGGCTGTGGCTGGGCATGGTGGGGACTGGGACAGGCCCCTGGTGGTCCCGCTTGGGCCCCACCGGGTCTTTCTGCTGATCATTCCTAGCCCTGGGGCTTGATTGCTGTTTCCCCGGACAGGGTACGGCCAGGTGGGCACCACCCGCTCTGTGGCCCTCCCCAGCATTCTCCCACCCTGGGCCTGGCCCCCCACCCCCCACAGAGGGCTCGCTACCTGGTGTACAGGCCGTTCTTTCGACAGAAAGAGTTCTTGACGGAGAGCCGTCTGTTGTTGAGCTCCAGGGCAGGGAAGCTGCTTTCATCCAAGCTCATCATCTCGCTGTGGCCCAGGGCTCCAGACTTGGCGCTGCTCCCTTAAGTCAGGGGGAGACTGACACCCTTTAGACTGTGTGGCCTCCGGTCTCCCATACCACTCCCCACCTGGCTGGGCTACTCGCTGTTTCTCTCGGTAGAGTTGAGACCAAAATAAGACATTGAGATTGTGTGTAGAAACCCTAGGCTGCCCCGCCCACCAGAGCAAATGTGCTACCAGGAGAGGGGCGCCATCACCCCCGTCCTGGCCAAAGGGCAGATACGTAAAAGTCAAGTCGTGCCAGCATGGCTGGTGCCAGCTCACTCACCTGAGTCTGTCTTCTTGGCGTACTTCTTGCTCTGGCCCCGGATGATGAGCACGAAGACCAGCAGCAGGATGAAGATGAGGCCGACCAGGGCGATGACCACCAGGAACCACCACTCCTCATAGAAGGGGTTGGCTTTCTGGGCTGGAGCATGGATGGGGTCAGGTCCAGGGTGCTCAGCCCCTTCCTCCCACTAAATCTCCCGCTCCAGCTGGGACTCCACCAACCCCTCACAATCTACGCGAAGGCAGGGTCCGTGCCCTCTGAATGAGGCAGAACCTCTGTAAGGATGGTTCACCTCAAGTACCCACTCTGATCAGTGGGTAAAGGACTGCCAAGAGGGCTGATGTCAGATGCGTTCTGAGATGGCTGCCTGGCTCAACAGGAGAGTGCTAGGATTGATTAGTGATGTCTGCCGGGGACACAGGAGGGGTGAGTGGCCGTGTGTCAGCTACTTTTTCTTTTTGTTTTTGAGTTGAGTTGCACTCTTGTTGCCCAGGCTGGAGTGCAGTGGAATGATCTTGGCTCACTGCAACCTCCACCTCCTGGGTTCAAGTGATTTTCCTTGAGCCTCCCGGGTAGCTGAGATTACAGGTGCCCGCCACAACACCCAGCTACTTTTTTTAGTAGAGATGGGATTTTGAGATGTTGGCCAGGCTGGTCTCAAACTCCTGACCTCAGGTGATCCACCCACCTTGGCCTCCCAAAGGGCTGGGATTACAGGCGTGAGCCGCCATGCCCGGCCTATGCTGTGCTTTCTGCACCCAGCCAGGACTACCCACGCTGCTGTGGACAAGGGGTGGGCTCTCTGTTTCAGTCTTGAAGCACTTCTGCCCCGGGATTTGGTTCTCTCCACGTGGATAAAGGAGTAGGTTTGGTTCTATCCACATGGGTGAAGGAGAAGATTCGGTTCTATCAATGTGGTCCATGTGTGGGAGTGGAAGGAGGAGGAAGGGACCTTTGTGTTCAGAGCGGTTAGCGATAACATTTTGGGTCATGGGGTTAGATAGCAGAGCCCTTTGTGCTATCGAAGACTTGCCAGATAGGAAGAGTGAGAGGAGGAAAATGGGGAGGGGTGGTGACCCTGTTGCCACACAGGTGGTGCCTAGGGCCCACCTGTGCCACTGCTGCTCTGCAGGCTGCTGACCCTGCCATGCTGAGGCTGGAGGTTTCCATGGAAGGACAGTTTATGGCCTGGTGCCCCTGAACATCCTAGGTGATGAGCGAGTGGAAATTTGGACCCGTGGGACCCTCTGCTCTGCCCCTACCCAGGGCTGCTGGAGTCCTTGGGAGGGAGCCCAAAAGATCAAGGCCCCCAGCTTCCTCTGGCCTTCAGGGCTGACCCAGCCCTGGGCACCACCACTTGTCCCTTCGCAGCCCCAAGGGACAATGCCTTTTGGTTGCCACCCCATGCTCCTGATGCCTGGTGCCTCTCCTCCTCCCACCCCCCCGCCCAGCGTCAGTCGTCAGGCTCTGCTGCGGGGCTCCCCAACTCCCTCCGCCCCCGGGCCAGTACCTGGCACAGACTGGGAGGGGCTGCTGGGGGTGCCGAAGCCATAGTCGTTGACCGCGATGACCCGGAAGTCATAGCTCACGCCCGGCTTCAGGATGTCCATGCTGAATGTGTAGGAGCTCACCTCCTTGGGGATGTCTTTGATGAGGATGTCCCATAGTCCCTCATCTGCAGGAGCACAGAGGAAGGCCTGGGAGTGAGGGGGAGCCCCAAACCCCGCTCCCATCCCTGTCCTGAGTGTGGTCCCTGAGGGCTGGGCCTGTAGGATCCACCCTACTCCACACTGAATCACAGCGGCTGGTCCTCCCTTGAAGTTTCTTATAAACACACATTGTAAGGCTGGGCACGGTGGCTCATGCCTGTAATCCCAGCCCTTTGGGAGGCTGAGATGGAGGGATCATGAGGTCAGGAGTTCGAGACTAGCCTGACCAACATGGTGAAACCCCATCTCTACTAAAAATACAAAAATTAGCTGGGTGTGGTGGCACATGCCTGTAATCCTAGCTACTCGGGATGCTGAGGCAGGAGAATTGCCTGAATCCAGGAGGAGGAGGTTGCAGTGAGCCAAGATCTCGCCACTGCACTCCAGCCTGGTATAATCCCAGCACTTTGGGAGGCCGAGGCAGGCAGATCACCCGAGGTCAGGAGTTTGAGACCAGCCTGGCCAGCATGGTGAAACCCCGTCTCTACTAAAAATACGAAATTAGCCAGGCGTGGTGGCGTGTGCCTGTAATCCCAGCTACTTGGGAGGCTGAGGCAGGGGAATCGCTTGAACCCAAGAGCCAGAGGTTGCAGTAAGCCAACATCATGCCATTGCATTTTGGCCTGGGCAACAGAGCGAGACTCCATCTCAAAAAAAAAAGGAAAAAAAAAAAAAAAAAAGACACTTTTGGAGCATCTCTTGTACTTTTTTTTTTTTTTTTTTTTTTTTTTTTTGAGACGGAGTTTCGCTGTTGTTACCCAGGCTGGAGTGCAATGGCACAATCTTGGCTCACCGCAACCTCCGCCTCCTGGGTTCAGGCAATTCTCCTGCCTCAGCCTCCTGAGTAGCTGGGATTACAGGCACGTGCCACCACGCCCAGCTAATTTTTGTATTTTTAGTAGAGACGGGGTTTCACCATGTTGACCAGGATGGTCTTAATCTCTTGACCTCGTGATCCACCCGCCTCGGCCTCCCAAAGTGCTAGGATTACAGGCTTAAGCCACCGCGCCCAGCCCTCTTGTACTCTTTTTATTAAAATATTGGTACTACATTAAAAGATACGTACTGTCCAGAAAGTACTGTCACAACCAATGACAGTCTCATCGTCCAAAGAAACAGGCTCAATGTGCTAGCCCTTGTGTGGGCAGAACACTATGGATTCTGTCGACCACATCATTAAAAATGGCTGGAAACATGCTTTTAATTGACTGCCTGAGATATGATCATATGGGAATACCCTTCTTTACTTAACTAGGTCCCGTTTTTCTAACTCCCTTTCCTCATTCAAAACCTACACAATGGTGGCGGGAGACAAAAATAAGAGTGCTGTTTTTCTCATTCTTTTTTTTTTTTAAGACAAAGTCTTGCTCTGTCACCCAGGCTGGAGTGCAGTGGTGTGATCTCAGCTCACCACAACCTCTGCCCGCCTCCTGGGTTCAAGCAATTCTCCTGCCTCAGCCTCCAGAGTAGCTGGGATTACAGGCTTACTCCACCATGCTCAGCTAATTTTTGTATTTTTTAGTAGAGATGAGTTTCACCATATTGGCCAGGCTGGTCTTGAACTCCTGATCTCAGGTGATCTGCCCCCCCTTGGCCTCCTAAAGTGCTGGGATTACAGCCATGAGCCACTATGCCTGGTCTTTGTCTTTTCTTTTTAATAACAGCTACAGGAAAGATATGGTTTAAAAAAAAATTATTTTGAGAAAGGGTCTCGCTCTGTTGCTGAGGCTGGAGTGCAGTGGCACGCTCTTGGCTCACCGCAGTATCGACCTCCTGGGCTCAAATGATCCTCCCACCTCAGCCTCTCAAAGTGCTAGCATTACAGGTGTGAGCCACCACGCTCTGCCAACAGGAAAGATTTGGGTTTCCTGAGTGGGTTTACTCAAGTTGCCTGCATCTGGCGAGACCTTCTTCAGCTACCTTCTTTCTCAGAAGAGAAAGAGGGGCAGCGGAGGCCCCAGGGGTTCCCTCTCTGTTCTTCACCCCGTGTTGGCCTTAGTCACCTCTGTCTTGCTTTTGAGCTTCCTTCAGATCCCCTTCCCCTCATTGTCTGTGGCTCTCTGGGCCTTCCCCTCGTGGGACATAATTCACCTTCACGCTGTTCAATCAGAGCGGTGGGGGTCCTGTCTGGGTCAGGGAGGAGGCAAGCCCCCGCCATAGCCCTGGGGTAGCCATCATGCTGGTGGGGAGGTTAGGAGGGGCTGCGCACTCTGGGTAGGGCCAACGGGGCCACCCTGGCCCTGAAATGGGGTCATCTTCCTGCTGGTGGCAGTACAGGGCTGATTCAGAAACCCAAGTGTCCAAGCCACCCTGGGCCTCGTCAGACCCCTCTTCACGGCAAGAGGACGTCAGTGAGCCCAGCTCGCAGGTCCTCTCTGTCTGGCCTGCTCCAGGGAGGTTGCCCAGTGGCCAGCAGCAGGTCTTCCAGGTTGCTGCCACCAGGGGGTAAAAGACCCTAACTCCCCAGCCTCTCCCCCATGCAACGCCCATTCTGCTGCTGCGCCCTGGTTGAAGCTTCTCTTCCACCAGAGGGGAGCCCAGCTCAGGGCTGCCCTTCCCTAGGGCTGGCGGTTTTGTTTTCCTCGCCATACTTTCTCAGAGACCCAGCCATGTAAGTTCAGCATGTAGCAGAGGTGCCTGGTTGCTCTGGTGTCCTGTCTGAATTTTGGACCCAGTGGTGGGACCCGCTGAGGGGGCTGCCTTATGGCTTCCAGTGTGGGTCCCTCCAGTGTGGGGAAGGCCATGGGGAGCCCGTCTGCATCAGAGCTGTCCTTGCAGAAGACCTCAGCTCCCGAACCTCCACCTCATTGGTGGTCTTATTTGATTTTGAGCTTCTGCCACCCACACCTCCATGTTTTTTTTGAGACGGAGTCTCGTTCTGTCACCCAGGCTGGAGTGCAATGGAGCGATCTCAGCTCACTGCAACCTCTGCCTCCCATTCAAGAGATTCTCCTACTTGAGCTTCTTGAGTAGCTGGGATTACAGGCACCTGCCACCACACTCAGCTAACTTTTATATTTTTAGTAGAGATGGGGTTTCGTCATTTTTTTTTTTTTAACCATTTTTCAATCCTTTAGTTTAGAAAGGAGAGCCAGGAGAACTGGGGACTTAGAAAACAGATTCTAGGCCGGGCGCGGTGGCTCAAGCCTGTAATCCCAGCACTTCGGGAGGCCGAGGCGGGTGGATCACGAGGTCGAGAGATCGAGACCATCCTGGTCAACATGGTGAAACCCCGTCTCTACTAAAAATACAAAAAAGTAGCTGGGCATGGTGGCGCGTGCCTGTAATCCCAGCTACTCAGGAGGCTGAGGCAGGAGAATTGCCTGAACCCAGGAGGCGGAGGTTGCGGTGAGCCGAGATGGCGCCATTGCACTCCAGCCTGGGTAACAGGAGCGAAACTCCGTCTCAAAAAAAAAAAAAAAAAAAAAAAAAAAACAGATTCTAAACTGAAAAGTGCCCAGCCCAGGTGTGCAGAGCCAGGGTCTGGGGGTTTTGTGCTGGGCAGGGGCTGCCCTGGGAGGGGGCAGAGAAGGAGAGCCACTTTAGGATACCCCTTAGGCTGTGGAGGGTGTCAGCTGGGCCTCTGAAGCCACTAATATCTGCTTCCAATCCTGGAGAGCCCTGTGTGGGGGACCCAATGGGATTTCTTCTTGGAAGGGCCCCCACCCCAAGTGTCAGGGAAGCCAGCAGGAGCTGAGGGAGGGAGGTGCTGTAACAGCAGCCACAGCCTCCAGGGACCCAGGCAGGCCCAGCTTCCCGCCTGGCACTGAGCATGCCATCTGCTTTAGGCCCCGGCTGGCAGGCAGGTGGGCAGCTTTCTCCCTCAGCACAGGGGCTGGGGGCACAGATGCAGACCCAGCATTCCAAACTCAGAACCCCCACGAGAGGCCTCAGTCTTATGGGAAATGCCTCCAGCCGAACCCCTCTGCCCCAACGCACTCTTCATCTGCCTACTGAAGAAACTTCTGGAAAGAGTGGAGACTTGAGGGACCCCTTCCTGGGGTGTGTGTATTTGCATTTTTCTGTTTGGGCATTTGTGTGTCCCAGTAGGACCAACACCCCAGGGAGATGAGGCAGGCAGGCAGGAGGCCCAGCAGGCGCCATTACTTCTTCACGATCTGGATGACGTCCTCACGCTCCATGGTGTGGGTCAGGCCCACCCGCTGTGGACTGTACTTGGTGCTGGTGTCCCACACCAGGGCATACTTGAACTGGCTGGCAAGTGACCGGTGGATGCGGTGGTACACAGGCCCGACTAAGCCCCCTTTCCGGAGAATGATGGTGTCTGTGGAGTCCGACCCCTGTCCTTTCTTCTTGGTGTAGATGCAGGTCAGGGCCAAGTACTCCCAAAGCTTCTCCAGCAGGAAGTCCAAGTTCAGCTTGATGCCACAGCTGATGACCACATTGTTGGGTTTTTGGGCCAGGCAGTCCACCTCTTCCATGGAGATCTGGTCGCTTTTGTTATAAACATACAGGCAGGGCATGTACATCCGGTTGTCCACGATCACATGGATGAACTCTGGGGAGCAGTCTTCTTGGAAGAGCACTTCTGCACTGAAGGTCTCGTATTTGTGCGGGATGAGCTGCACCAGCTTTTCCGAGCATTGGGCCAGTGTGACTGTGGAGTTAAAGGAGATGCCACCGCCTTTCTTGGGCTTGAAGTAGATGTTAGGCTTGTGCTTGTTGAGGTGGTTGCCCATGGACTCCAGCTCCTTCTCCAGCAGAGACCTCTCCAGCATCGTGATGATGACATCGGCCATGCGCGTCACAGCAATCATCGGCTGACCATGGCCTTTTCCTTGTGTGGCACCTTCAATGATTCCAGGAAGGTTCCAGGAGCTGGATGTTGGTGCCTTTGTATTCAATGACCCCAGGAATACACGTCAGAGCGGTGAACTCACAGGATGCTGCCTCGCTGGCCGTGGAGGTCATCAGACTCAAGAATGTGGACTTACCCACAGAGGGAAATCCAATCAGTGCCACGTGGGCATCACCCGACTTCAGGACATCAAAGCCCTCCCTTTGGATGAGGCAGATTTGGATGGTTCCAGGAGCTGGGCCCGATACTTGGCGAGTTTAGCTTTCAACAGGCCCAGATGACACTCAGTGGCCTTGTTCTTCTGCGTCCAAGCGATCTCCTTCTCCATCTCCGAGATCTTCTCTAAGATCCCCATGGTGGCAGCAGAGCTGGGTGTACAGACGGCGGCTGCAGCGGTACCGGGAATTCCGGTCTGTCGGCAGCAACAGAAAAGCATGTCCGGTTTCGCCATGTTGGCCAGGCTGGTCTCGAACTCCTGACCTCAGGTGATCTACCCGCCTTGGCCTCCCAAAGTGCTGGGATTACAGGTGTGAGCCACTGTACCTGGCGCATATTTTTGTTTAACATCTCTCTCTCTCTTTCCCCCTTGCTGGCTGTGAAATCCCTCATGGGCAAGGATCATGACTAATTCTTCTTAGTTTTCCTTGGCCCAGAATCCAGCACGGACACCTTCTCAGCGTTTCTTGAACAAATAAATGGAACCTTTCTTTCTTGCCCTTTTCATAGCATTAGGTGCCAAATTTCGGAGCTTTATGCCTTGAAATGTTAGTACTGGGGTGCAAATCCATTTTCCTCACATGCCTCTGGATTCTCTCACCTTCAAATGACATCATCATAACGATGATGATGGTGGTGACAACAGCTGGCACCTACGCCACTGTCAAGCATCCTGGGTCTACATGCTTTCCTTTGCAAATCCACAGCAATGGCCAGAGGGAGGAACTACGGTCCCCATTTTACAGATGAGGACACCAAGGGCTGGAGGAGGCTTCACTCAGCTTCCCAAGGTCCCATGCTGTCAGAAGCAGAGCCGGTGTTTCTGCCTGGGGCCACCTCACTTCTGGCATTGACCTTCCCTGTCCGACGCAGTCAGGAGTTGGACTTGCGGTTGCTGGATAGGGTGGGATGGCTGAGGACCCTGCTGCTGCCTTCTAGAAGCTGGGCTCTCCTGCCTGCTGTTTAACCCCCCTTGTTCCACCCGACACAGGGACAAAGGGTGGGGCCGGGGCAACCGGGCCAGGCCAGAAGCTGCTGGAATGTCACGCTGGGGCTCTGGATGCCAACCCCGGGAGTTAGCTGATGTGCAGGACGGGCCCCTGGAGCTATTAATCCCTGAGGAAACCCCCTCCCTGGGTCTGCAGTGCTTTCTACAAGCTCCTGGCTTGTAAAAAGTGAGTGTATTTAGTTTATCCTCCCTTGCACGGAGCACAGGCAATTCAGGGGCAAGTATTAAGACAGGGGCTATGCCAGCCTGAAGATGAGAAGGGGCACAGAAGAAGTGGCAGGGGACATGAAGCGGAGAGAGGCTCACCTCATCGCAGCAGCCTGCTCTCAAACAGCCTCGGGGACAGGCCACCTTGCCCCTTGACCCCTCTCCCCTGCTCCTCCCCTTGCTAGCTACTGATCCTATCCTCTGCTCTCTGGCCCTGGTCCTGCTCTGAGTCCTGGTTTCTCATGGGGGCCTGGCGTGGTCCTTCCTTTTACTCTCAGGCCTTGATTCCACCAGTGTGGACCAAGTCACAGCCTGCAAACTTGGAACACTGGAGTCCCCCACTGGGCCTCCCAGGAAACACTGGAGAATCAGTAGGACCGGAGTCCCGGGCCAACATTCCACAGCCTGGCACCCCAGCTGGCCAACTTGGGTGGAATAAACAGGTGCAGGCCCTGGTTGGGAGAAGCACGTGGTGGTCTCCAGGCCAGCTCAGCAGCTGGCACCAGAGGGCCAGGGACGGACCATCTGGAGTAAGGAGAGAGCCAGCCCCATGTGCAGCCTCTGGCCACATGGTGGATCTGAGCAGCTAGATGTATTGGCTATATGCACCTATGATTATTAGCATGTGATTAAAGCAGGTGCGGGTGGTCACAGCTTCCAGGAGCTACTAGAATTATTAACTCTTTGCTATTGGGATGATTAGTGCCCGGCTCCCTCGAAGTATTAACAACTTGTCACTGGGATGTTTCCATCCATATTCCCCATTAGAAGTATTAGCTACCGCGATGCCTGATGATGTCCCATCATGATTGCTATTTGCTGTTTGGGCTAGAACAACAAAGTCGTCTTTTCCTTCTCAAGTTCAGTCACCTAACTGCAGATCTGTGGGATACAGAGGACAGGCTTCCTGCTCTTGCTGATTCTGGCACCTCTGATTAACTTGGAAACCTAGCAACGGCGGGAGCTGGCAGTGGCTGCGGGCTCCTGCGAGGAAGCAGAGCCCGGCAAGCGGGTGTCAGGACGGGTGAAACCGGAGCAGTGGAGAGCAGGCCCCCGAGTGACTTATCCGTCACGCATCTCCTGATGGCTTTGGAAGTTCTTGTGATTCAATTTCAGGCTTGACAGGAGAGGCTGGTACAATGACAGCTGCTGCAGAGACAGCCACGATGGCAGAGGCAGGGCTTCGAGAGGCAGCTGGGGTCTCCTTAATTATGGGGCACCCATCAGTGGGGTCACGTGGAGGATTCAGTATTTGACCCACGTGAGCCACATGCTCGGGCCTCTGGCTTCCTGAGGGTTCCTTGACCCAAGCTGGTCCTCAGCTAGCACTAAGAGCCGTTCTCCGGAGGCCTCCTGGGAGTTCCTTAGCCAGGAACCCAGCTCTAGGAGCCACCCTACCCCTTCTCTCACCCCCCAACAAGGCCAGGTGACCACCTGCAGCAGCACAAACGCCTTCTCAGGCAGGAGGACAGACGCAAATGCCCCGAGTGGAGGGACCCAGGAAGGAGGGGAGACAGTGGGTCTAGGGTGTCAGCCCAGCAGGGCAGGGCGCACCTGAAGGCCTGGCCTCGATGACGTAGCGAGTGATGGGCCCTTTGCCCGGGTCTCCGCTGGACCAATGGATGGTGATGGCGGAGCTGTACCGCACGATGATGGGCACGCCAGGTGGTCCTGGAGCACCTGCAAACAGCACAGAGGCAAGGGATGTACAGGACCCAGAACAGCCACCCAGCCTGTCACCTGGGGCTCAAGGAGGAGCACTGGCCGACAAAATCAGCCCTGGACGGAGAGCCGCCAGGAAGCCCTGCAGATGTCGAGGCCTGAGAGTGCATCTCAGCCTGGGCCTGCCAGGATGGACTCTTGTCCCCTCTGGGCCACCCCTACACTCCACACTCCAAATCCCAGGGCCGAAGCCAAATGGAATAGTCCAGAAAGTTCCCTGGAGTAGAGTCAGGAGACCTGGGTTCCAGCCCAGAACTTGATAGATGGGTGACTTTAATCAATCCACATAGCCTTCCAGTGCCTCAGTTTCCCCCTCTGTAAGGGCCTTTTGGAAGGTAAGGCTTGAAGGCTGTCTCTTAGATGGGGGGCAGGGGGCAACAGAAGTGGGTGCGATGATGGCAGAGTGGGCCCATGAGGGGAGGGGATTGGTCGGAGTGTGGCTGAAGAGTTAATGTTGCCCTCCTGGCATGTGATAGGATGTCTGCCCTCCCTCCCTCCTGCCTGAAATCCCCCAACCCCAGTTGCATTTGCTATTAGGTTAGGCAAGGGGAGAGGGGTTCAGGCCCCCAGAAGCCTTGGAGCCTCTGATGCTGGGAGGAGGGAGGAAGGACGGGGGCCCATGCCACTCTCCTGGCATGAAGGTACGTCAGGAGCAGCCTGGGATGTGGGCCAGCCAGGGAGCCGGTGCTGGGAGTTGAAGCAGGAGAGAGGAGGTGACTTCCGCAGTGAGAGGAGTGAGCAGGTGTCTGTCTACAAGGGGCTCTGAGCCCCTTCTCCTCTCGGGGGTGCCTGTCCAGAATTCTGACCCCACATGCTGTCACCTCTAAGCCTATTCCCCACCAGAGAAGAGGCTCTGCATCCCCAGAGCTGGGTACACAGTAGGTGCTCAGGGGATGAGGGAGGGATCCCGTGCATGAGAGGGTGGCCACCTGGCTGGTGGGTGGGTGGGTGGGGGGGTCTCTGTGGATGCCTGCCAGGAAGACAACAGAGTCCAGCCTCACACTGATACCCCCCAGGGTTCTGGAGAGCCAGCAGGCCACACAGGAGGCCAGGGACCAGCTCACAACCTGGCAGCCCTGCTCAGCTCCTATGCCCACCCCATGGCCTTGGAGGGCCCCATTTCCTTCCTTCCCTAAGGAGCAGCCTGTCTGCAGCACAAGGGCAGAGCAGCTGAGGGGTCAGGTGGGGTGGACACACTCGAGGGAGTGGGGTGGGGTGGGCAGCCCTTAGGATCCTGCATGTTCCTCCTTCACAGGGCAGTACTCAGGGCTGAGGATGGAGCCCCCACCTCCTCCGGGGCCACTGCCTGGCCGCACGTTCTCCCCCCACAGACCCCGCCCTGCACCCACATCAAGTAGGGAGGATCGGTTCTTTCTTTCTTTTTTTTGAGACGTGTTCTCACTCTTTTGCCCAGGCTGGAGTGCAGGGGCACAATCAGATCTCACTGCAGCCTGACCTCCTGGGCTCAAATGATCCTCCCACCAAAGCCTCCTGAGTAGCTGGGACTTCAGGTATTCGCCAGCGTGCCGGGCTAATTTTACTTTTGTAGAGATGGCGTTTTGCTATGTTGCCCAGGCTGGTCTTGACCTCCTGGGCTCAGGCAATCCACCTGCCTGGAACTTCCAAAATGCTGGGATTATAGACGTGAACCACCGCACGCTGCCGGTTCTTTCTCAGAGTGCCCTCCCCTACCTTTTCTGTACCCCCTGCCCTCTCTCTCCTCCCACCCCCCACCTCCCTGGCTGGGGCACTTTAAGTCTCAGGATAGAACATCCTGTCCTCTGCACAGCCCTCTCCTGTTCCCAGGCCACTGCCAAAGCTTGGTCCTCAGCTGCCTGCCAGCTTGGTTTCCTGCTCTTGCTTCCCTCTCAGGTGAGAGGCAGCGCAGGGCGGGGCTGGGGCAGTAGTTGGGGGGGGCTCCCGGGTTTCTTGCCGCAGGCTTTGTCCTGAGTTTGCCCTAGAGCCACAGGGCTTCTTTGCAGAACCAGACTGTGGGGAATAGAAAGTGACCAGCCAGAAAGAAAAAGTGATTCGTGGCCAGCCTGAGCCATTAGGGGAAGATGGTCTCCCGTGGGGCAGGTGGCAGATGAGAGAAGGGGCTGGGCTCCCAGGCCTGGCTCCCCTCCTGGGGTAGGTTAATCAGGGCTGCTGGGGAGAGGAAGCCTTTGACACTCCTGGCTGAAGGGGCAGGGTGGAGAAGGAGATGGCATTTTAGGGGAAGTCTGGGATGGGCTATACCTCTTCATAGGGACGGAGGCATCACAGTGGCCTGGGACGTGGCTTTTGTTTTCAAAACAGGACATCCTACACTGACTGGCTGTAACAGGGACTTTGGAGAGCTAAACCTTGACCATGGCAGATGCCTGGGGGAGTGGGGGTGGGAGGGAAAGGGAGGGGAAGAGAACATTTAAAGGAGATGATTGGGCGCCGTGGCCCATGCCTGTAATCCCAGCACTTTGGGAGGCTGAGGCGGGTGGATTACTTGAGATCAGGAGCTGGAGACCAGCCTGGCCAAACCCCGTCTCTACTAAAAAGACAAAAATTAGCGAATCGTGATGGAAATCACCTGTAATCCCAGCTTCTTGGGAGGCTGAAACATGAGAACTGCTTGAACTCGGGAGGCGGAGGTTGCAGTGAGCTGAGATTGCACCACTGCACTCCAGCCTGGGCAACAGAGCAAGACTGCGTATCAAAAAAAAAAAAAAAAAAAAAAAAGTTTGGGTGCAGTGGCTCACACCTGTAATTCCAGCACTTTTCGAGGCCAAGGCAGGCAGATCACAAGGACACAGGAGATCGAGATCAGCCTGGCCAATGTGGTGAAACCCTGTCTCTACTAAAAATACAAAAAAATTAGCTGGGTGTGGTGGCACACACCTGTAGTCCCAGCTACTTGGGAGACGGAGGCAGGAGAATTGCTTGAACCTGGGAGGTGGAGGTTGCAGTGAGCCAAGACTGCGCCACTGCACTCCAGCCTGGGTGACACAGCGAGACTTTGTCTCAGAAAAACAAAAAAACAAACAAAAAACCACCCCAAAACAACAACAACAAATACAAAAACAATAAAGGAGATGAAGGAAGACTTCCTGGGTGGGTCAGTTAAACACTAAAGGGCATTCTGCAGAGCGGGTGGGTAGGGTGGTGGGAGGCAGGGCCCTGGCAGTGAATAGGTGAGCCTCTCCATCAGGGTGTTTCTCAAGGTGCCACTTTGTCATGGCCTCCAGGGGCCTTTGTGAAAGTGCAGGTTGCCAGGTCCCACCTCGGCCCCAGGAAATCAACCCCTCCAGGCACCCACCCTGGGAATATGCATCTCCGTGCACCCTGCTCTGGGGCTAGGGGTGGTTCGGGGGCGTGGGAAGATGGCTCTGGCTGGGCGAAAGGCAGGGGCACCTGCCAGGCTCATGCTCCCAGGACGGAAGTGAAGGAGGACGTGCAATTAGCGGGGAGGGAAAGAACTGAGCAGAGCAGGTGGAGCACCCAGGCGAGGCCTGTGGGTTGGGCCTAAGCGGGAGGGGAGGGGCCCGGCCTGTGGGTTGGGCCTAAGCGGGAGGGGAGGGGCCAGGCCTGTGGGTTGGGCCTAAGCGGGAGGGGAGGGGCCAGGCTTGTGGGTTGGGCCTAAGCGGGAGGGGAGGGGCCAGGCCTGTGGGTTGGGCCTAAGCGGGAGGGGAGGGGCCAGGCCTGTGGGTTGGGCCTAAGTGGGAGGGGAGGGGCCAGGCCTGTGGGTTGGGCCTAAGCGGGAGGGGAGGGGCCAGACCTGTGGGTTGGGCCTAAGCGGGAGGGGAGGGGCCAGGCCTGTGGGTTGGGCCTAAGCGGGAGGGGAGGGGCCAGGCCTCTACGCTGGGCCTAAGTGGGGGACAAGGGGCCGCTGCTGCAGGGTTTGTGGCTTGAGGAACTGAGGACACTGATGCCATTAACCAAAGTGCGGAACATGAGAGGAGAGGGCGGAGGGAGGGGGCACTGGGCACCAGGGGAAAGAGTGAGCTCTGCCCTCCACTCTGTCTTCAGGGTCCAGCACAGCTCTTGGCACTGGGGACCCTTCTGACAGGGGGGTTGAACCGCCGTGTGGAGGCCGTGCCTGGCCCTGCCTGGCCCATTGCTTTCCTACCTTCTCCGGGGCCCGTGGTGACGTTGGCTTCGATCTCCGGCCCGTAGGTGAAGGTCTTGGCTCTGATGCGGAACCGGTAGGTCACCCCCTCTGCCAGGTCCTTCACCTTCAGCCACAGGGGGCTGGTCCCCTTCACGTCCACTGTCACGATCTTGCTGACTCCTAGGGGAGGCACAGCACATGGGGACTGCAGGGACCACCAGGTGCAGGGCCCACTGAGGCTCCCCCGGAGGCCACGGGGAAGGGGAAGGGGAAGTGGCAGTGGTTTGGGTCCCGGGACCCTGGGCAGGGGCCTCACCCCTGGAGGTCAGGCTAAAACACCCCCCAGCCCACACAGCCACATTGCCCATGCTGTGTTTCTCAGAGCACTGTCCTGCCGCTCTTCTCAGGGAGAAGGGCTCCATGGTTCACAAAGTGTGAGAAAAGTTGCAACTGTCTGTGTCTACTGAGTAGCCACGGGGTCCGTCAGCTCTGAAGAAAAGAGAACACTCACCATCCTGTTTACAGTAATCTCTGGACCCCAAATACATTTCACCTCCATTTGTTTTTGTTTTTTTTTAGATGGAATCTCGCTCTGTCACCAGGGTGGAGGGTAGTGGTGCGATCTCAGCTCACTGCAACCTCCGTCTCCCGGGCTCAAGCGATTCTCCTGCCTCAGCCTCCTGAGTAGCTGGGATTACAGGCACGTGCCACCACTCCTAGCTAATTTTTCTATTTTCAGTAGGCCAGGGGTTTCACCATGTTGGCCAGGATGGTCTCAAACTCCTGACCTCGTGATCCGCCCGCCTTGTACTCCCAAAGTGCTGGGATTACGGCCGTGAGCCACCACGTCCAGCTGTTTCACCTCCATTTTTATTCCCCTATGCAGCATCCCATGGGACTAGAATTATATACTTTTTCAGGCAGTGCTTCCATGAAAGTACCAACAGTGCACAGTTGGGGGACATACTTTTGACCAGGTCCTACGCCTGAGCCCCACACCGGCTCCACCTCCGTGGTTCAGCCAGGAACTCCCATTGCCCTCCATCACCTGTATCTGCCACGATTTATATATATTTTTAAAAACAAGGTCTTGCTCTGTTGCCCAGGCTGTAGTGCACTGGCACAATCATGGCTCACTGTAGCCTCAACCTCCAGGGTTCAAGCTATCCTCCCACTTTCAGCCTTCCAAGTAGCTGAGACCATAGGTGTGTACCAGCATGCCCAGCTAATTTTTAAACTTTTGCAGAGGCAGGGTCTCATTATGTTGCCCAGCCTGCTCCCCAACTCCTGGCCTCAAGTGATTCTCTCATCTTGGCCTCCCAAAGTGCTGGGATTATAGGTGTGAATCACTACGCCCAGTCCACCAAGCTTTTTAGGGTAAAAGTAAGGATGTCTCAGCACCCCAAATCACAGCAGCTAGAGGGGAGGCTTGGGCTAGCTTTTAGGAGGTGGGAGTTTGCACTCTGCTTCACAAATCCAAACACTCCTGACTGCCCGAGAGCCAGACTAGTGTCATTTCCAATCTCCATCAAGCACGCCAGGCACCACTGAGAGACAGGCCTTGCAGCCAGTGGGCTGGGCTCAGACTCAGTGACGGCTGGCCCTGGCATGTCCCTTAACCTGGCTTAACCAGGTGACGGTGTCTGCAGCATCTTAGGCAGGGATATTATGAGGTTTAAGTAAAATAACAGAGCATGGAGGTGCCTGATATATTTATTCATTAAGTGGATTATCATTATTATTTTGAGACGGAGTTTCTCTCTTATTACCCAGGCTGGAGTGTAATGGCATGATCTTGGCTCCCTGTAACCTCCGCCTCCTGGGTTCAAGTGATTCTCTTGCCTCAACCTCCCGAGTAGCTGGGATTACAGGCACCCACCACCATGCCCAGCTAATTTTGTATTTTTAGTAGAGACGGGGCTGGTCTCAAACTCCTGACCTCAGGTGATCTACCGCCTCAGCCTCCCAAAGTGCTGGGGTTATAGGTGTGAGCCACTGTGCCTGCCATTAAGTGGATTATTGAATGATGGAACAGTGTTGGCTCAGAGGGGCTTCCTGAAAGAATGAAATGACCCCCCAGGACCAGGAACAGGGACTCTGGCTACCTTCTCCTTGAGAATTCTGAACAAAGCCCTCATCTGCCTGGGCCTTGGTTTTCCCTACAGGACCATGGGGGCTGCTGGGTTCTTGCTGGGTTTGCTGCTGACGCGAACCCAGGATGAACTGCGGTGTGGACACTGGGCTGGCTAGGCGGAGCCTGGTCTTGCTGAACTTATTAACTGGGGTATGATGGGAAGATGGGAACATGTAGGGGCAGGGAGTTGAGCCACATAGTCCAGATCCCACCGGACTGTGGACCTGGAAGAGAAACAGCTCACATCTGTCAACTTGAGAGGGTCCTGGACAGGTCGGGTTGAGGTCCCTGTGAAAAGGGCTAGTGGGCTGGGTACAGTGCCGCACACCTATAATCCAAGCACTTTGGGAGGCCGAGGTGGGCAGATCATGAGGTTAGGAGGTTGAGACCTTCCTGGCCAGCACGGTGAAACCCCATCTCTACTAAAATGACAAAAAAAATTAGCCGGGCGTGGTGGCATGCACCTGTACTCCCAGCTACTTGGGAGGCTGAGGCAGGAGAATTGCTTCAACCCAGGAGGTGGAGGTTGCAATAAGCTGAGATCACACTGCTGTACTCCAGCCTGGGTGACATAGGGAGACTTGTCTCAAAAAAAAAAAAAAAAAAAAAAGGTCTTGTCCTGGCCCCCCGCCCCCTGTAGCTTGCCCCGGGGACTACTGTCCTCTACCCTGCCCTGGTTCTGCACCTGACCAGATCTCCGGCTGGGGCCTGGCTTCCCCTTGGTGTTCTAACACAGCTCTACTTTGCAGAGGAGCTGCTGGCATCCAGGTGGTGGCAGGGAAGACTGAGGGCCATTGTTCCCTCGGCTGACCCAGAACTGCTGCTCACAGCAACATTCCCAGGGCTCCACCCCTTGTTCTAGCCAGGCTCTGTAGTTGAGGGGGTTGAGAGCCAGAGGGATAACCCCCGAGGCCAGCCACACTCCCAGCACCTGGCTGGAACTAGCCCCAGGCAGGGAGGAGCACAGTCCCTTTCCTGCCTCAATCCCGTCCTCGTAGGATGCTTGTTGGTAACAAAATGGCAGGGATTTCCTGGCATGTTGCCGGGGGTAGAGAGCTGGCAGGTGCCAGATGTCCATTGTCAGGGGCTGTGCAGCCCATCCCAGGAGCCCAGAAAAGGGGCAGGGTCCCAGCTGGGGCCCGGAGGAAGGAGTCGAAGACCACTCAGATGAACGGGGTTAAGGACAAGAGCATTGCTTCTTGGCCCTTTGACTAAGATCAAGTGTAGGACAAGAGTGAGGTCATTTGCAGAGCACGGCTCTTGATCTGGGGTCCACAGATGGCCGTGGGGGTGCAGGGACATCCTGATCTTGTGCATCTTTCTGGGGAGAGGCTCTGAAGCTTTCGTTCTCATCAGATTCTCAAAGGGGTTCCCGACTCCCACAAAAGCTAAAGAAGGACTAATTCACAGTAGCACTGAAAACCCTAAGGTTTGGGAAAGGGCAAAGGTAGGACCCTCAAGGGCTCCCCTTTTCTTTTCTGTTTTTTTGAGATGGATTTTCGCTCTGTCATCCAGGCTGGAGTGCAGTGGCACAATCTCAGCTCACTGCAACCTCTGCCTCCTGGGTTCAAGCAATTCTCCTACCTCAGTCTCCTGAGTAGCTGGGACTACAGGCATCTGCCACAGCGCCCGGCTAATTTTTGAATTTTTAGTAGAGACGGGGTTTCGCCATGTTGGCCAGGCTGGTCTCGAACTCCTGACCTCAAGTGATCCTCCCGCTTCGTCCTCCCAAAGTGCTGGGATTATAGGCCTGAGCCACCACCCCTGGCTGCCCCCTTCTTTATGGTCTCAACAGAGCTCTGTCTGCTCAGGTTTCCTTTCCTTTCCGCTCTGTTTCCAGCGGAAGGAAGAAGAATATACTTGACAATTCTCCGCGTGGAAGTCGGAGACCTGGAACTCTCTTCCAACCCTGTCCCCCACTTGCTGTTGTCTTACCTTGGAAATGCCCTTTCCCTTGTCTGGGACTCAGTTTCTGTGTTTATGAGACAAAGGCTCTCACGGAATCTCACTCACATGTAGTGGCTGTGACGCGCACCGAGATGTAAGCGAGCTCTTGCCAAGTGAAGGAGCTGGGGAGGTGCTGGGAGGTCCACTCACCATCCACGGGGCTGCAGGGCTCGTACACCAGCCGATAGCCCTCCAGGATGCCATTGGGGAACTGCGGCGCTTCCCAGGACACATTCACCGAGGTGGTGGTCAGCTCGCTGAACTGGACCGAGCTGGGAGCGCTGGGGGCTGCAGGAGACAGCAAAAGGGTTTTTGTTTCTTTCTTCTGTGGAAGTTCAAAGCCCTGGGTTCAGCTCCAAGGAGCTAGTGGGAGTGTTGGGTCTGAGCCCTAGCAGGACTTGGCAGAAGGGGTGAGCAGGAGGGGTCACTGGAGGTCATCGGGCCCCTTCCCCTCCTCTCTCGACTTTCCAGTATCGGAGTCCTAAGAACTGGGACGAAGGAGAACTCTATTTTTCCCTCAAGTTGCAGAATTCAGGCTTCTCCCTGCTAAGTGGCTCTGAGCCCTGGCTATGAACACGGGACAAGCTGTGACACCCCCAGGGTCATCGTGAGGCAAGGCCATTTCCTGGCTTTGTGGGGCTCATCTTTTGGCTTCCTTGGAGGAGAAGGTAGGGGGTGTCTGGGCCTCAGAACATTCAGTGGGCACGAAACAAAGAAGACGCCAGAACCCCAGCAGACGACCGTGGCCTTCCCCTCCCCCCGGGGCTCCCGGGATTGTTACAGAGCCCCCACGCAGTCAGGGGGAGCCATGCCAGGACTGTCAGACCCTCTGGGAGAAACGTTTCCTTGGACTGAAATCACTGCAGTGACCCTGAAAACCCAGGGGCAGGGGCTCCTCCAAGGGGGAGGACAGAGGAAGGGCAGGAAGCACCCCAATCCGCGGCGTCCCCAGCTGGCCTGGGAGGAAGACCAGGCTATTATTGCCTTGCGCTGCCTCCCCACCAAGCCGGAGCTAATCCAGACCCGCTTCCGGCCGCAGCCCCGGGAGGCAGAGTCAGCTAGTGTCTTTGAAGGAGGGAGGTGAGCTCAGGGGGCCCTTCCTGCCTCCCCTCTGCTTCGGGGACGTGGGACAGAACAAGTTGTCCTGTTGCTGCAGTGACGGAAGCCTCGGGTTCCCTGGGGCTCGCATCCGGCAGATGATACTGACGAGAGAGTTGCCGGGACAGGCAGGGGCGGACGGAGAGACGTGCAGGTTCAGCGGCGCGTGGTCAGCCTGGCCCCGGCCAGAACCCAGGGGCAGTGGAGGGAAAGGCTTCCCTGGGAGCCAGGGCTTGTCCCCAAAGAGGGTCGTAATGAGGAACTGACTCCACAGGTGTGCCCTCTGCAGCTTTTTTTTGTTTTGTTTATAGACGGAGTCTCGAGCTGTCGCCCAGGCTGGAGTGCAGTGGCGCGATCACAGCTCACTGAAACCTCCACCTCCCGGGTTCAAGCAATTCTCCTGCCTCAGCCTCATGAGTAGCTGTGATTACAGGCACGTGCCACCATGTCCAGCTAATTTTTGTATTTTTAGCAGACACGGAGTTTCACCATATTGGCCAGGCTGGTCTTGAACTCCTGATTTTGTGATCTGCCTGCCTTGGCCTCCCAAAGTGCTGGGATTTGGTGGCTCCCAAAGGCATGAGCCACCACACCTGGTCCCTCTGCAGCTCTTTAAAGGCCACACGTCACCAACAGCATAGGAAGCAGCAGGTTGAACAAGACGCTCAGAGGAGGCTGGGACCAAAGGACCACCAGGATGGAACGCTTGGTTCTCTCAGAAATCCTGGGTTCCAGCCTCTGCTCCCCCAGTGACCAGCTGGGCGACCCTGGATACCTAGCATATCTTCCTGGGCAACCCTGGTTCATCGGGAAATGAGGGTTCCACCTGCCCCCACCATCCCCAGGGCTTCTGGGAGGCTCAAGTGCAACAGTGCCTGAGTGGAGCGCTGGACACACACTGCCAGGCTCGCTCTGCACTCGGGCAGATGGATTCTCACCAGCGCCCTCTCCTCTGCACTTCCCTTTAGCCTCCTGATCTCCCCTCCCCACCTCTACTCTCTCCACTCTGCCGGGCTATCTTCCGCCAGCAGCCAGAGCACTTTTCTCAAAATATAAACCAGACCCTGTTGCTCAACTGCTCAAGCTCTCCCATGGCTTCCCATTGTGTTTTATTTTGTATTTGTTTAGACAGATTCTCATTCTGTCACCAAGGCTGGAGTGCAGTGGCGCAATCTCAGCTTACTGCAACCTATACCTCCTGGGTTCAAGCTATTCTCCTTCCTCAGCCTCCTGAGTAGCTGGGATTAGAGGTGTGCACCACCACGCCCAGCTAATTTTTGTATTTTAGTAGAAACTGAGTTTTGCCACGTTGGCCAGGCTGGTCTCGAACTCCTGACCGCAAATGATTTGCCCACCTCAGCCTCCCAAAGTGCTGGGATTACAGGTGTGAGCCACCACTCTTGGCCCATTGTTCTTATTATAGTTAATCCCCAATCCCAATCCCCCAGCCCAAGCTCTCACCCCATTTTCTTGCAAGCCACCTGGCTTTCTCTATGTTCCCTGGTTCCTCTCCAGCCTCCAGGCCTTAGCACCCACTGTTCCCTCTGCCTGGAACCCCAAACACGCTCTACTACCTCCTGACAACCCATGGCTGGCCTCTTCTCTCTTTTCTTTTTTTTTGAGACAGAGTCTTGCTTTGTTACCAGGCAGGATCTTGGCTCACTGCAACCTCTGTCTTCTGGGTTCAAGTGATTCTCCTGCCTCAGCCTCCAGAGTAGCTGAGATTATAGGCACCCACCACCACGCCTTGCTAATTTTTTGTATTTTAAATAGAGACGGGGTTTCACTATGTTGGCCAGGCTAGTCTCGAACTCCTGACCTCAGGCAATCCACTCGCCTTGGCCTCCCAAAGTGCTGGGATTACAGGCGTGAGCCACCGTGCCCGGTCCCTGCTGGCATCCTCTCATTCAAATCTTACCTTCTCAGGGAGGCCTTTGTGGGTGAACCTATCCAGAGTCATCCACCCACCCCTTCACCCTTAGATCGCCTGTCCTGACCCCCGTCTGTATTTACATCAACTTGCTTGTGACCTGTCCCCGGCACTAGGGCAGGGACCTTGTTGGCTTGTTGGTCTCACCATTGCGTCCATAGCTTCTAGCACGGAGTGGGCTCATAAAAGACACTCAGTATTTGTGGAATGGACAAAGCCAGAGAGAGAGAGGAAAGGCAGGTGGGAAGAAGGCAGGGAACGGAAGTAGGCTGGCTGGGAGGGGCTGGGGTACTGGTGTCCCTCTGCAAGGCAGGGTGAAGGGTGGGGAGGACAGGCATGAGATGTGGGCTTTCTCAGGGCTTATGGGAACAGTTTCTTTTTCCTGAGCATGGGCTCTCCCACTCCGGAGGGTGTCTCCAGGCACTTGGGCACCACGCCGGGATCCTTAGGGGGATAGGATAAGGCAGACGCGTCCACACCTCCCAAGAGCCCAGATGATGGGTGGGCCCTCTCGCAAACCCCTTCCCCATGCCTCCAGCCATGGCTGACCCACCCCTCCTTGGAGCCCCCTCTCCCACCTGCTTGCTGGGTCTGGCCTTGAGTGGGGCTGCTCCGAGGCCCATCCCCAGCGGCGTTAAAGGCAGCCACGCTGACCATGTAGGCAGTGTAGCCGGTCAAGTTCTTGAGCTTCACACTGTTCTCAGCCAGGAAAAGTGTCTTCACCCGCTCCGTGAGGTTCTGCCGCTGGGCTTCCCAGAAATAAATCTGTGGGGACAGAAGACCATAGGAGTGAGGAAGACAGGGGCACTGAGTGTCCCTCCTGCCCCTGTTGACCTGGAGTCTAAGAGACACTTTCATTGCTGTGAGTCACCTAGAAAACAGTAGAGAAGTCTTTAAGAGGCTGGGCTCGGTGGCTCACACCTGTAATTCTAGCACTTTGGGAGGTTGAGGCAGGTGGATTACTTGAGGTCAGGAGTTCGTGACCAGCCTGGCCAATATGGTGAAACCCTGTATCTACTAAAAATACAAAAAAATTAGCTACGAATGGTGGCAGGCGCCTGTAATCCCAGCTACTTGGGAGCCTGAGGCAGGAGAATCACTTGAAATCGGGAGGTGAAGGTTGCAGTGAGCCAAGATTGTGCCACTGTGTTCCATTCTGGGTGACCGAGCAAAACTCCATCTCAAAAAAAAAAAAAAAAAAAAAAAAAAAAAAGTCTTTAAGAACTGTTTTTTTTTCTTTCTTTTTTTTTTTAGATGGCCCTCTCGTTCAGACCAGAGTGCCCAGGCAAGAGTGCAATGGTGCGATCTCAGCTCACTGCAACCTTTGCCTCCTGGGTTGAAGTGATTCACCTGTCTCAACCTCCCGAGTAGCTGGGACTACAGGTGCCCGCCACTACGCCAAGCTAAATTTTTAAAAAAATTTTTATTAGAAGGCCGGGCGCAGTGGCTCACACCTATAATCCCAGCACTTTGGGAGGCCGAGGCGGGTGGATCACGAGGTCAAAAGATCGAGACCATCCTGGTCAACAGATCGAGACCATCCTGGTCAACATGGTGAAACCCCCTCTCTACTAAAAATATAAAAATCAGCTGGGCATGGTGGTGCGCGCCTGTAGTCCCCACCACTCGGGAGGCTGAGGCAGAAGAATTGCTTGAACCCAGGAGGCGGAGGTTGCAGTGAGCCGAGATCATGCCATTGCACTCCAGCCTGGGTAACAAGAGTGAAACTCCGTCTCAAAAAAAAAAAAAAAAAAAAAAATTAGAGATGGGGTTTCACCATATTGGTCAAGCTGGTCTCAAACTCCTAAGCTCAGGCGATCCACCCGCCTCACCTCCCAAAGTGCTGGGATTACAGGGATGAGCCACCGCACCTGGCCAAGAACTGTTTTAAAAACCTTTCCGAAACTTGCCTTTTCACTGCCAAGACCCTGGTCTCTGCCGAACAGTAAATTCCAGGGCATGGCCCCAGGTGTCTTTGTTTCCCATCATGCCTGGAGGATTTAGCACAGCACTGGCATATCAGTGCTCAGTATGGTTCCTGGAGAAGTAAAGCAAATCCATCCTATGGGAAGCTGAGCTGGGGAGATGAGGCAGCGTGGAGTCTACCCAGACAGAGTGTGACGCACATGCTGGTGGCCTCACGTCACCTGGGGCTGGTGCTGGTGAGGGATGCAGGGTCTCAGGGCCACCCCAGGCCTGCTGCCTTAGCAGCTACTGGTTAACAGGAATGAGGCTGGCTCAGAGGATGGCAGGAGCAGGGGCTGAATCCCAGCTGCACCGTGTACAGCAGTGGGACTGGCCAGGTGACTTCTGGGAGCTGCAGTTTTGTTATACATTCAGTGAGGTTAAGAACACACACTTCCTGGGGTCAGCGTGACGGGTGCAGGCCCTAAGGGTTTCACCCAGGTACTTAGCCAATTTCCTAAGGCTCTTCGTGGCTGCAGGTTTTAGGCCGGGAACACAACCGGCGCTCTAGGGTGTTTTCAGTCACCTCCTATGCAGTGGGTGTTAACACTTCCCAGCGAATTATGGAAGATTCTGATACTAGTTCCAGGACTAGCCACAGCGGCCGTTGGGCCTGGCCCACGTGCAGAATTGAAGGTCACTTGGCGCCCTCTGCTGGCTGATGAGATTTCTGCACGTTACCGGCTTTTCAATTTCTTGTTTCCTTGGAGGAAGCCCATAAAACGAGAAAGAGCTAATAAAAGAGTCCCCACTGGCAGGTGTGAGTGGCAGTTAGGACATCTTGTTACCATGAAATCCTTGCTGTTCTCCAATCCCTCTCCCCATTATTTATTTATTGGAGACAGGTCTCACGCTGTTGCCCAGGCTGGAGCGCAGTGGCACGATCACAGCTCATTGCAGCCTCCACCTCCTGGGTGCAAGCCAGCCTCCCACCTCAGCCTCCTGAGTAGCTAGGACTACCGGTGTGCACCACCACACTCAGCTAAGTTTTCCATTTTTTGTAGAGATGGGGTGTTGCCATGTTTCCGAGGCTGGTCTCCAACTCCTGGTCTCAAGCGATCCAACCACCTTTGCTTCTCAAACTGCTGAGATTACAGGCATGAGCCACTGTGTCTGGCCCTTTCCCCCTTTTTATTTACTTTAATTTTATTTTGAGACAGGGTCTTACTTTTCACCCAGACTGGAGTGCAGTGGCATGATCTCAGCTCACTGTAACCATGACTTTCAGGTTCAAGCAATCCTCCTGCCTCAGAACCCCAGGTAGCTCTGACTACACACAACTGCTACCACACCAGCTACTTTTTTTTTTTTTTTTTTTTTTTTTTTGTAGAGATGAGGGTCTTAGCATGTTGCCCAGTCTGAGCTTGAAGTCATGGGCTCAGGTGATTCTCCTGCCTCTGCTTCCTGAAGTGCTGGGATTACAGGTGTGAGCCACTGCACCTGGCCCTCTCCCCTTTTCTAAAACAGATTCTGCTGGGTGCAGTGGCTTATGCCTGTAATCCTAGCACTTTGGGGGCCGAGGCAGGAGAATCTCCTGAGCCCATGAGTTTGACACCAGCCTGGGCAACATGACAAGATCTCCATCTTTACTGAAAATAGAAAAAATTAGCCAGGAGTGATGGTGTATGCCTACAGCCCCAGCTACTTGGGAGGCTGAGGCAGGAGGATTGCTTGAACCTGGGAGGTAAAGGTTGCAGTGAGCCACGATTGCACCACTGCACTCCAGCCTGAGTGACAGAGCAAGACTCTGTCTAAAAAAATAAAATAAAATAAAAAGCAGATTCTTCCTATATGGGTAGATAAGTGAGAGCGGAGGCCGTCATTTATGAAATCATTCATTCACTCATGCATTCAGAGTAATGGGGTTACAACAGTAAATGACGTTTCTGTTGGATTTGGAAAGGTCATGGCTGACGCTAAAAGTCAATCATTATCAGCACACGGGTGCTCTTCCATGAGTGCATACCAGGAGAATGAATGGATTCTTTTAGATGGAGAAGAGGGTCATGGACTGATTCCTGGGGGCCTCCGGCATTCCGTGGTTGGTGGGGAGGAACAGCCAAGGAGGGAAGCTGAGAAAAGCAAGCACTTTGAGAGGAAGGAGGGACCACGTGTCAAACACAGCTGCTGAGTCAGGCAGGTTGAGTCTGCAGTTTGACTGGATACCAGCAACGTGGGAATTATTGGCAACTTTGTCAGGAAGAGCTTCAGTGGGGTGGCGGGGACAAGAACCGACTTGGAGCAGGTTCAAGGGAGAATGAGAACAGAGGAATTGGAGATGGTGAGTATGGAAGATTCTTTTGAGGGATTCTCCTATAAAGGGGCCAAAGAAAAAGGTGACAACTGGAAGAAAATGTGAGGTCAGGCTGGGTGTGGTGGCTCACACCTGTAATCCTAGCACTTTGGAAGGCCGAAGTGGGTGGATCACCTGAGGTCAGGAGTTCAAGACCAGCCTGGCCAACATGGTGAAACTCCATCTGTACTAAAAATACAAAAATTAGCCAGGTGTGGTGGCAGGTGCCTGTAATCTCAGCTACTTGGGAGACTGAGGCAAGAGAATTACTTGAAACTTGGAGGTGGAGGCTTCAGTGAGCCAAGAACGTGCCATTGCACTCCAGCCTGGGTGAAAGAGCAAGACTCCATCTTAAAAAAAAAAATGAGGACAGGAGAAGGCATGAAAAGAAGAAACATATCTCGGAATGCGTTTCTGCCCTGCCTGTGGGAGCTGTCCACTTGAGAGGTGGAGGAGAGGAAGGGCCAGTGACTGCACTCCTGCTCTTGGGTGAGGGTGGGTGGGGCCGACCCAGGGACAGCTATCTTCATAAACCAGGCACCCCAGCAGGTGCATGTTGCTTGCGTGGGCTGCATTCTGCAGACCCTGTGAACTGATGATTAACAGTGAGAGGGATGACACTTGTGCAAAGGACATAAATGGACTGAGCCCAGATCCTGGTCCCCCGGGGCACACCGCTGAGCTGCAGTGCACTCTGATGGGTAACCAGGAGTCTGCCAGAATGCTTACCCTACAGGGGTGGCATTTCGGGCCATGTGGCTCCCTTGGGACCCGAACACCTAGAATCATGGCTGGCACACCCACTGTGCTCAATAAATATCTGCTGGATGAATAAATGCCTTATGTAGACAAAGCGAGGCAGGGGAGTGCACCCTTATAGTCACCACCTGCCATTTACTATGTCCAATTCTCTGCTCTTTCTTTTCTTTTTTCAGCTTTTTTTTTTTTTTTTTTTTTTTTTTTTTTTTTTTTTGAGATGGAGTTTCGCTCTTGTTACCCAGGCTGGAGTGCAATGGCGCGATCTCGGCTCACTGCAACCTCCGCCTCCTGGGTTCAGGCAATTCTCCTGCCTCAGCCTCCTGTGTAGCTGGGATTACAGGCATACACCACCATGCCCAGCTAATTTTTTGTATTTTTAGTACAGACGGGGTTTCACCATGTTGACCAGGATGGTCTCGATCTCTTGACCTTGTGATCCACCTGCCTCAGCCTCCCAAAGTGCTGAGATTACAGGCTTAAGCCACTGCGCCCAGCCTTTTTTCAGCTTTATTGAGGTATAATTGACAAATAAAATCTGTATATAGCGGGGCATGGTGGTGGGCACCTGTAATCCCAGCTATTCAGGAGGCTGAGGCAGGAGAATTGCTTGAACTCAGGAGGCAGAGGTTGCAGTGAGTGGAGATCATGCCACTGTACACCAGCTTGGGTGGCAGAGTGAGACTCCATCTCAAAAAAAAAAAAATCTGTATGGATTTAAGATATATGACACGGTGCTCTGATATACATA